AGCATCCCAGGTGATGCCCCAAGCATCCCAGGTGATGCCCCAAGCATTACAGGAGATACTACTAGCATCCTGGGAAATGGTGATTAGCATCCCAGAAAATGCTACGAGCATTCTTGGCGGTGCTATGAATTATGGCAGAGGGGCTGAGAAGAAAAGTGAGTGCCAAACTGCGTAAACTTCAAATTTGGAGTTTACGCAGTTTGGAGCTCACTTTTCTTGACCAGGTAGTATTGGTGATTTAGATTATCCAGCACTTAATCTTAAAATTAAACAACCAAACAAACCACATTCAGCGTGGACAGATGTACAAGCAGCACCAAGTAATTTACAAAATTTTCAAGGAACAGATCAATTAAGTGAACTGGTTACACAAATGAAAATGGTATTAGATAGTACACGTAGAATGGAATTAAAACTCGATAACCAGGTCACACAAACGATTTTACTAGAAAAAAAAATCCTTAATAAATAAACAAGCTATTTCTGTTTTAGCAAATATTATGCAACAAATGATTAATGCATCCTTAGAAAAGAAAAATAAATAAACCCTTCTACAAAAGATTGCTCAACAACTTGAAGAATTTAAAGATGATCTTACAGTGAAAGTTAATTCACTTTCTATGGACATCAATCATCATCAACAACAATCAAAATCAATCTCAGCAACACCACCTTCAATTCTTCTTAATAGAACTACAAATCAAACAAAAACAACAACAATATCAAGTAACAAAGGTAACAACGTTCCGATGGACTTCGAGCAGTCGATGGAAATAACTGATGTCTAGTAACAGTAACCTGTCCTTGTTGAACGCTCATGTTTCTCCCTTTTTTCCCCCTCAAATTTCTCCATATTGTTCATCCTCGAATGATGTAATAGGCACCGTGATTCAAAAAGTCATAGATTGGGTTTCTCTTCTAGCATAGTACAACTTATCACTGAGATTATGAGTGAATGATACTCAGGAAATACCTTAAATGGGATTTTGAACCGTTGGGAAAAGAAAAAAGTCCAACATTGTGCCAACAGTCGCCTCTAAATGTTCTTGTATATAATGTTCAAGGGTGGGGAACAAGAGCCTTAGAATCAATTGATTTAGTTTTTAAATCCGATAGTTCTATCTGTATTTTTACAGAAGTTGGAGAACTGTGGAACAGTTTTAGTATCCCACACTTTAATATCTTTTATCAAATCGGTAAAAATAGTAAAGATGGTGTGGTGATTGCGGTTGGAAAACACCTTAAAGTGACCCGAATCGATTTAAAAACAGAGAACACTGTGATAGTAGATATTGATGGTCTAACTGAACCCGTTAGGGTGATTGGAGTTTATTGGCCTCACTGCCAAAATCGAAATCTAGACGAATTATCACCTTTCATAACAGGAAGAACGGTTCTAGCTGGAGATTTTAACGCTTCAGCATATGAATGGGATAGTCCCTTCACCGATGCGAGAGGTCAGCTGCTGAAAAGATGGATAGAGAAAATGAGCTTGTTTTTTATACCTGGAACAAAAAATTCATCAAAACGATCTACACGACCTATTGACCTTATTTTTACGAATGTTGTTGATGCTAAAGCAGAAACACTGTTATTAGGATCAAGTGATCATTGGCCTATGTTCATGAAAAGTGACCAAATAGGTATTCAAATGAAGGGCTACTTTCCAATAGTGAATTGGAAAGTGTTTGAGGTAGTATTGAGTCTGTTGGAACAGTTTTGGATAAACGAATCAAACACGCAAGATGCCGATAGTTGGTATCAGAATTATGTTCGTTTCTTAGCCGCCTTGAAGAATAGAATAACTAGGTGAATATATAAAGATAAATACCGCCCGTCTCTTCCACCGTATATAATTGGTATGCTGAAAGAAGTTCGAAAAGTGCGGAATAAATACTATAGAGCGAGGAAAAAAAGTGGTGGCATAGTTGACGATGATTGCAGGAAGTCGTTAAGAATAATGACTAGTTTGGTTAAGAAGGAAATAAGCAAATATAAATCAGACCGTTGGAAAAGTTTTCTCTCGACCATACAAGGAGCACATGATACACGAGGTAATGCCTTTTGGTCTCATCTATCAAAGATCTATAAGCCGAAAATACTCCCTCTATCAAAACTAGCTGTTGGTCCAGGTACGATAGTTGATCATCAAGAGATAACGAGGTCACTTTGTAATTATTATACAGAACAAGCTAAAGCTCCTCCCATAAATGAGGATGATAAACATGATCTCCAAGTGCAAGAGGAGTATAAGCAAATTGTGAATGATATTACATGTTCCGCTCCGCTCGAGCTGAAACCGATCTCTGTACTAGAAATGCAAAAGTTGATTAAGAAGCTGAAGAATAAGAAATCATCCGGGTACGATGAAGTTTCCAATTATATGATCAAAATACTCCCTCCAGCATTTGTTCAATGCCTTACTAAGTGTTTTAATTTTTGGTTGCAAAGATGTCAGTACCCAGAGTTTTGGAAACTGGCGAAAGTGGTAACCTTAAACAAATTAAAAGCCGGTGTACCGAGAACCGATCAGACGAGACCTATCTCCCTCCTACCGACGCATTCGAAATTATTTGAAAAAGTAGTACTTGAAAGAGTCAAGTTCTGGGCGGAAGGAGCAAGTCTATTTCGACTGAGCAATCAGGTTTTCGATCGGGAGGACTCTTAACTACTAGAGTTCTGTCGATATATCAGGAAATAAAGAACAGTCTTGCGGCGAATATGCCTACACTCGCTCTGTATGTGGATTTCAAAAAAGCGTATGACACAGTGTGGCATGCTGGCCTGTTGGTAAAACTATCTAGACTGGGAATGCCTTTAGAGTTGTTGAAAATGACCCTTTCGTGGTTAAAGAACCGTCAGGCTTATATCTCCTTTGGAAAAGAAATATCAGACAGATTTCAAATTGATATTGGATTACCACAAGGTAGCAGTTTAAGCCCCTATCTCTTTATAGTGTACCACAGTGATTTAAATCATTGTGCAGGTGCGCACCCAGGACATATTTATGCTGATGACCTAAGCATATTGGTAAAGGCGCCCATTATGAAGAAACTGTCCTCAACAATTGAATTTCTGGAAAAAGAAGGTTCGAAGGTGTGTACTAGAATAGCGGAAAATCCAAGTAAATGGAAACAGCCGATCAATGTGCAAAAGACACTTGGACAGGTTTTCTACACTCAAGTAGAAAAACCCCAATTAAATATATATATGCAGAAGCATAAAATAGAGATAGTAGATGCCTTTAAATACTTAGGGTTTACGTGGACGAATAAAATGTCGCTTAAACCTACGGTTGATCAATGTCTTGAAAAAGCTGAAAAGGCGCTTGCTAAACTGAAATGGCTGAAAAAGGGTAGAAAGATTACAAAACAAGTTTTAAGACAATGTTTCTTTGCATATGTCTTTCCCCATTTGGCATGGATATTTCCTGTCTATCCCCTTCTCCCGAAGACACAACAGGATGCTCTGAATAGGAAATTCCGAGTGGGTCTTAGATTAGTACATAGGTGTTCGTATGTAGAAGCAAACGATTTATTAGTAGTAACAAATGAAAAACCACTCACTTTCCACGTGCAGAAATATATTAAGAAGAGACTGGAGAATATGTACAAGTCAGATTTATGTCGGTCAAGTTTTTTAGAAGACATTTTCTATCGGAATCAGTTTAGGAAGAGGGACCAAGACTCGTTAGGACAATTCTTTAGATTAAATAGAGTAAAGAAAATGATAAATAAGCATGAAACTTTACTAATTAAATGGATTAACTTTGCGTATGAATAAAAATTGTGTGTCATGCCCCTCACCCCCCCCCGAATAACAATATAAATTAAATTAACTTAAGGAAGCGAGAAGGAGACCACGCCTATGACAAGGAGAATCACGATGTCTAACCTCCTTCATCTTCCCTTTTCTTCTTCGTCATTATTTTTTTTTCCTTTTTAAGCACTTCAGAGTGTAACAATAAAACGCACAAACAAAAAAAATTGTATGGAATGTGTTCTTAAATGTTCCAGTTTTCTCGGAATGTCTTCTCTTCTCAAAATAAAGGTAACTTTTCTGGAACGCATTCTTGGTCATTATTGCCTAAATTTAGATTCACTATAAGAGTTCTCAAAGATAGTTACAAACATAATTTTTTAAAAAGATCGACTCCTATGTAACTCGACGAACCCTATCCAACGGCATGCTTCAATATTTTGTAGCTCAAGTCATTATTCAAAAAAATATTATTTTTTAAATAAGACCATCAACTGTAAAGTATGACTCGTTGAAGGTTCCACCATTCTGAGTAGCAGTATCATGTTGTTGTACTTCAGAGCCTCCATTTTTGAATCAAAGGAAACATTGAATTTAGATGAAAGCGTTCATCAGAGAAGAAAGTCCATTTTCAAACGTTTCTCAAGAGAAAGTTAATGAAACCGATCTCATTTCGACGATGTCCTATCCGGCTGTTTCTCAGCAGAATGAATAGATACTAGTTCTTTTGTGTCATGAAATGGTTCAGAACGCTTTCTATCCGTTAGATACAGAGACGGTTTTTGAATTCAGAAGAAAGTATTCCGTAGAATTATGGAGCTATGAAGAGTGAATTCCTCTAGGATTAAAATTATTCTTTTTGGCTCTGAAAACATCCGCTGCACCATAGAACGCACTCTTCATCTAAAAGAAAAGTTTCTACATTTTCATGAATGCATCATCATTCGTTAGTTTTTGAAATATTTTTTACTAAGTTACCTTTAAAATATGAATCAGGAGTGAAAAAATTATTACTAAGAAGCATCTTTTTCTAACATGTTACAGTACTTCTAGTAAATTTCATCTTACTATCTATTTGAAATCGAAAGCCATTTTTTAAACAAGTGTTACGTAAATAAAACGCATCCAGAATGGGAGAGGCTCGGTGCATTTGTTGATGTTTCTTTGAAAAAAAGATCTGAATGTTGAAATTGTATGCACACATATCAATCTTCAGGTTGATAGTAGATTTGTTGTCAACTATCAATGATTTAAAAGCGATCCAATATTTGAAATGTATTTAAAAAAATAAATCTCCATATTGAGATACGCTTCTCATGAAATCATCCTTGTATGTGTATTGGAAAAAGTCGATTATAACTGGAGGTTACTTATTTCAACAGATTCTCTCTTTAATTAAGATATCAGATGTCGTCAAACTTCAGTAATATCGAAAATTCATTTTCTGTGATTCTGTTGACAATTTCTCGTTAATAACTTGCATCGACAGTACTCAGAGATACAGATTCACCAATTTCGATTCAACCTATTCTCCTTTCCAATTTGGTATGGAGCTGATTGAAATCAGAATCTCTATTGACTTTGCCTTATAAAAGCGAATTCTAATATTCTGGTATTTTTATTTGCGTCGTACTTTGCCATATTCAGAACTTCTCGAACCTAAGAAACGGGTATAAGAATGTCTCTCTAAATTGTTTTCTCGACTTCTCATTATTTTACGGAAACTTTTAAAAATTAAGAAAGCATTTATTAAAAATCAAATTAAGTTATATTATCCTAAAAGAATACCCGTACATTTATGCAAGAGTTTGTACCAGAACGCTATCCGAATTAAAATTCTTAACGAATCAGTGTTACATGCTGCTTTATTTGATAGCGCTCGTGAAATAAAACATCCTTAACAGAACTCCATTTGATTTAAAAAATTAATCATATTTCTCTTAATCTAATCTCGACCTTTTCGATAAAGCAAAACCAAAGTCGAGACTATATTCCATGAGTGACAATCGAATGACACGATTTTGAAAAT